TTCATGTATATTTTAATTATTTTGCTTCGAGCTTTGCTTGCAGCTTTGATTTTGATTATTCAATAAAATATTTGCTCACTAGGTACGTAAACTATTAAGTCGGGCAGAAACTAGACATTTTTTTGTGTTTTTTGATCCATGTGTGGCCGCCACGCCATCTTGAATGTCACGTGGTTTGAATTGCCTAATTGTTTGTTCTGATAGTTACTTTCCGGCCAAAAATATCATCATGGAATTTCTTAATTTCTGTAATTATGGAGAGAGCTTCCTTATCAATTTGGGCAAAATTCTTCTCGCTGTGCGACAGTGTACGGCTGTGATATGCCACTGGAGCTTCTCTCCCATCATCATTTGGCTGACTCAACACACAGCCCACACCATAGGGACTAGCGTCACATGTTAAAATGAGGTCTTTTTTATCTGTATAATGTGCTAAAACTGGCTCTTTACTTAAAATGTCCTTTAATGCATCAAACGCCGCTTGTTCTTCGGTATGTCACTGCCATTGCGATTCTTTCCTCAGAAGGCAATGCAATGGATTTGATATAGTTGCTTTGTCTTTAAGGAAAACATGATAAAAATTCAAAAGTCCAAGGAAAGCCTCAGTCTTATTCTTAGGCGCCGGGGCATTAGCTATTGCCTGGATTTTCTCGTTAGTGGGCCGAATACCATCTTCACTTATTCGATATCCTAGAAAATCTATTGACTTGGTATTAAACACACATTTATCTTTGCGTAAATTAAATCCATCTTCCCTAAAGCGTGAAAGCCCTGCCCGCACTTTACTGTTTAAATCAGCTTCTGATTGTCCGACAACTATACCTTAACAACTTCAAATTGAGACTTATCACAATCAAATTGAGAACAAACATTTTCAAATTGAGATTTAAAAAAATCAAATTGAGAACAATTTGAAACTATTCGCATGCTACTGATGGCCATTTGCACCGCTATCACTTAAGGGATATTAAGGGATATTTAATTTAGGTGGAGCTTTTGAATGTAACTTTTGTTTCTACGAGAGTCGCATTCAAAGCTCCACTTGGATTAAATATCCCTTAAGCTATAGCGGTGCAAATGGCCGTGAGATACCAAACTGTAAACGATTACATTTAAATGCACCTTTGTGGGTAATTATGGTCTGTGCTTCGGCAGCTTCACGATCGACGCTTAACTGTGAATAGGCCTGTGACATGTCCAATTCAGAAAATATTTTACCTCCTGCTAGCACTGATAATATAGTTCGAAAGTTTGAACAGAGTGCACTGTATAAGGCTCTGCCTGCAGGGCACGATTCAATGTACTACGATAGTCCCCACAAATTCGAACTTCTCCGTTATCTTTGCAAACTACAATAATTGGAGTATACAGCATTTATTTAGCATGAGTAATTGGCTTCAGAACACCTTGCCTTATAAGTCTATCTAGTTCCATATCAATTTTTTCCTTTAATGCAAATGGCACCTTTCGAGCTTTTAAAATGATCGGCTTGAAATTTGGATCCAGGAAAAAACTAACTAATGGAGGTCCCCTGTAGGATCCTAACTTTTCAACGAATACTTCAGGGTATTCTTGGACATACCTAGTTGGACAAAGAATAAATTTGACTTACCCTTATGATGGATAAACCCAAACCTTCAAACCAATTTCGGTCAAGCAAATTTGCTCGGTTTTTCTGGGTAATTATGAGGGGTAGCCTGGCTTCCATGCCCTCCTAGTTTGACAGTTACTAAACAGTCACCCCTCGTAGAAATTACTTTACCTTGATAGTCCCGTGAATAATATTGGTGGATTTTATCAACGGAGGATTGTCACCCAAAATTCTTTTGGAAACTTCTAATCCGACCACAGAGCAGTGGCGCACCCAGAGGGGGTGCTATCGGGCCAGGGCCCGGGGCAGGCCGCCCCTCCAAAACTGTATTTTTACGTTTAACATCAAGGCGTTGCACCCTGACACCTCAATTTTTTTCAGTCACAAGTCACAACTTATGTAGGTACCTAGGGCCCTCCCCAAATATATTTTCTGAGTGCGCCACTGCCACAGAGTACCCGGTTCCCGAATCTACTTCCATACAAATTTTAGTCCCATTTACAGTAACTTCGGCTAGGTACTTGCCCGAAAAATTGTCACAACTCACATTATTTAATGCAAACCCATAGTCCGCACCGTTAGAGTCAATGCTCTGAACACTTTCCAAATCATTTTCCTGACCCGAATTATTAAAGTCTTGTTGGTGTACGCTCCGTCTCTGTCTGTTTGTGTCCTTCTTCTTAAGGAAACAAGCTACCTCAATGTGCCCTATTTTCCGATAGTAGTTAGTTACACTTCAAATTTTTATGCACACAGGAAACGGCCAAATGGTCTTTTTTACAACGGAAACATTTCCTAAAACGATCCTGATTAACTCGAATGTCACGTTCCTCAGCTAATCTGTTCTGTTTTGGTTGAATTTCCTGTTTGCGACGTGCCTGAACCTCATGTACTTCGCTGGTCGGGTTCGTTTCAGTTCCTTTCAACATCGCCAGGCTCTGTGCAGCGACCTCGTAAGCAAGACACATATCTTTAGTTTTCTTGAATGCCAATTTATCTTCTGACAGCAGTTTCCTTTGCAGAATTTCGTCGGTAACTCCTCATACGATTCGGTCACGCAACATAGTCTCTAAACTGGTGTCGAACCCACACGATTCTGCCAGATGGAAAGTCATACGTTCGACGTAGGATCCCAACCCTTTGGTTCGTTCACGTTAAACTGTTCGATGTTTCCGTTGGTACGCCATTGTTCGTTGTCACCGTAGGCTTTTCCCACCTGGCCAACAATGGCACCCCAAACATATCGGGTCTTCAAAAAAAAAAACAATCAAAGATTGCTATGGTTTTTTAAACGTATGTCGTAGCAATATTTTTCTTTAATTTTGTCAATGAACTTTAATGTCAAAATGTCATGTCAAAAATCCTGACCAATAAAGAAACCATAATGCGACGTACGTTTTCGTAATCAAAGCAATCTTTGATTGGTTTTTTTTGAAGACCCGATATAAAACTACAAAAATAAAAGTACCTAATCAATGTCTAAAACAACTAAAATCTGTTTTTTTTTTTAAAGATAAAAGTCAAAATGACATTATGTTGGCAATACAATGTAAAGTTGTCAATGCTTTCAAGTTTTTTATGTAGGAAAGGCTTGTGTTGCCAACATTGTTACTAAATTTTTGACTTGGGGAATTATCTTAAAAAAAAAAACAGACTTTAAAGTCTGTTTTTTTTTAGAGATAAGAGTCAAAATGACATTATGTTGGCAATACAATGCAAAATTGTCAATGCTTTCAAATTTTTTATGTAGAAAAGGCTTGTGTTGCCAACATAGTTACTAAATTTTTGACTTGGGGAATTATCTTCAAATAAAAACAGATTTTATTCACTTTCACAGTTCTAGCAAAACGCAACAACACAGACACAATACACCACAGTGTGGTGTATTGTGTCTATAATAGTGTGGTGACCACACTATTATAGATGGAAAGCTGAAGTTTTCATTGAAACCTTTCCTAGTAGAGGACTACAAACTCTGAAAATTTCAGCCCATTTGGACTTGAAGTTCCCGAAATAAAATCCCTGTTTTATGTGATTCATTATCTTGTATTTATTTTGATTGATAGCAAGCATTATTATTTATCACCTGACCTTATACTATAATATATTTATTTTATTTAACCATATTTTACATAAACCAGATATACATTGTAAACAGACTAATTGTGGATGTTTTATGCATACTTACAATTATGACCCAATTATGTTATCGCACGAATATGATTTAAATTATTATTTTTATCTTATTTATTTTTAATCCCCAAGCTATTAGTATAACATATAAACAAATTTGACTAGGACAAACTTTGAAAGCATTTTTTTATAGGTTTCCTGGTCTTTGAAGTAGATCATACCCAAATGCGAAGTCAAGCCGATCAAAAATCAAATACTATTTACCATACTTTTTATCTTCTTTTTCTTTTCCGGCATTATTTGTATGTTTCTCATATTCATCTTCAAAAATCAACAATCCATATAAAATGTAGTATCTCGATGGACATCTTGCCAGAAGTTAGTTTTTAGAAATATCCTAGAACTAATCTTATAAGATATTAACTTCCGGTGATTCCAATGTAAAATATCACCAATAATAATTTATCTCAGAGTAATTATTATTTTTATCTGTTCACTCGCTATTAAATAACATACAAGGTTGATTTATAACAAACAAAAATGTAAAAGCAATTTCTTGTTTGAATAAATTCTATCAATTGAATCTGACTGAAAAATTGATATGTAACTATTGAAAGCAATTATTATAAACAAAAACTAGTTTCAATACCATTATCACCTTTTTAAAACAATCATTATTCATTACCAAGTGAAGCCGGCTTCTATGCATGACCATTTAAAACTTATGAAACATCTTTAGTTTTAATTGTTAACCCACAAACATCTTTATAGACATTTGAAAGTGAATCTAAAACTTAAACATTCAATGTCAAATTCAAATTGGTAATTAGCACAAATAGTCGAGATGCGTTTACCTACAATGCGGAAATATATGTAAAAATTTCATTTAAAAGGACCTTCGTTTGTGACTTTATGAGCCACTTTTTCAATCAATTATATTGAGCAACAATAATTAGAAATTAATGGTAAATATATTCAACATTCATAGAGATTATTAATATTCATTTCAATTTAAACGCCCCTGCATCTTATTTAGTATTTAAATAGCATTAATAATTCAGCGCAAAGAAAAAATTGAATTGTTCCATTCATTGTTCTATATTGATTAGGCTTTGAATTATTCCGTTTGAGCAATAAATTATGAAATGCTCAATGAGCATGAAAATAGATGCTGCAAATATAATAAATCATATTGATGCAAATGAAATGTTATTCTCTAAACATTTTTTGGATTCAAAATAAATTGTCTCAAAATTCTCAAAGATTATATTTTTAGGGTCGTACTTTTTCTGGAATCATCCACAACTTCCTCCAAGTGGCCGATTCCGAATACATTTCCGAATATTTGGAAGCCTACGCAACCCCTGAAGGCAGACAAGGCTACGAAGACACTTTGAATTGCCTGAAAACGAATTTCCCTCAATACATTCGAGAATTGGAAGGAATTGCTGATGGAGCCAATGTACCATTTTATAAGGTAAAATGTAATGTAATATCTTTGTGTTTTTTTTTAATAATTGTTTTTTAGCTGTTTCTTCTTCATATGGACAATATTATATTATCAGCAGCCCAAAAAAAGTCAAACGATCAACCCACAGGGTGTTCCACCATATGTATTAATCGAAAAGGACAAGTAAGTCATTTGTTATGCCATAATAACCTAATTTAATTAAACTGGAATTCTAAATTTAGCCTAATAAGTATCAGGTTTCCTTACAATCCAATAAGCTAATTTCAGTATGGTTTCCTATTATTCTCATTGTTATTAGGATTAGGTAACACAGGAAAAAAAATATCAAATTATGTATTTTAACTTAATTTCAAAACAATTTGCATTGTTCTTTGTAGTAATTCAATAACCTGTCAACAAAATTGCCACAATTATTAAATCAAGAAATAATTACTTTTGGGTTTGGTTGCAGGAATTTCTCGGTCACACAGAAGACGCTTTGGCCAGCACCCTCAACCATTACTATTTCGTTTCGGCTCACATCATTTCCGAACAGCCTCAGGGCAAATGGGGCGTCAAGGAGGAAAAATTCACTTCCCTTTGCTATGCCGGCCATTTACCTGGATACACCATGAGCTACAATCATCACGGGCTTGTGTTCTCCATCAACACTTTAAGCGCTAAACATCTGAGAACTGGAAAAACACGTGAGAATTTTCACACTTTGATATTTTGGTTTAGCTACTGATTTCAATTCAATAGATCCATATTTATTTGAAAATGAAGAGAAAGTTGAGGAAAATTGGAGGATTAAAAATTTTGGTCCTGGGTCCTGGCTCTCACCAACTAAGCCACCATGCATGACCCTACAGATCTTTTTGATGTTTTTTTCATGTTTGGTGTTGTTAGAGAAAGTTGCGTGGCTCTCCGCTCATTGCCATTGAGAACGCGGGTTCGAATCCCGCCCAGGACCAAAATTTTCAATCCTCCAATTTTCCTTAATTTTCTCTTCCTTTTCAGTTTCCATGCTTTTCGGTGGTTGTAACCAACAAAACTTTATTCCTTTACAACATTGCTTATGCGGGCATCAAATACACCAAGTTTCAACACACATGAACGAAACCTATATAATGTCTGCCCAGCGACTCTGTGTCTACGGGGCAACGGTGAGGGGAATGCAGTTGTAAAAAAAAAATGGCATTCATAAAATAACAGCTGCGTGCGGGAACTTTTTGGAAGTGTTATCGTATGGCAACTCGTACACGAAAATCGACAATTACCAAACCTCCGCCACTGGATATTTCAATATAAATCGATATTCCAAGATGGGAGGATAAAATCACGTGAGCCCTGGCCAATAGCGAGACGTAAGGTGATGTTAGCTCATTGACAACCGTATGGTTCCCCATGGCAACAGCGATCCTGCCAAAAACTCCACCAATCAGGTTCATCCCGGCCGGATGCTTGCCAAATAGTCAAAAGCAGATGGTATTGTCACGAAACGTCTCTGCTTCGCTGTGTAGCTCGACTATTCACCCTGAAAAGCAGAACGGGAAGGGAGGAGTAATCAGGGAATCACCAGAACAGTTTTAAATAGCTAATATATATTGTTACAGGACGGAGATTACGGAAACTTGAATATTTTAGTTATTACCACATCATCGTCATCTGGGACCAGATAACGTCCCTTCGGGTGGTGAGGCTAAACAAAGGGCGGACAGTCAAACGTCGGGTATACCCCTGCAAAGCTAAATAACCAAATCAGCCCTACAGGAAAATCTAGAAAGCCTTTTCACTGTAGGTCAAAGCCTGGGGCGTCAGGGAGTACCTGCCCTGATAGAGATACGATAGCGTATTAACTTTATCAGTCCAGATAGTTCCCCAACTTTGAGTCGTCTCTTAACACCTACTGATTGCAGCGAAGCGCTGAGACACGACAAATTTGCCATAGTGTGGCCCGGGCTTTTATATCCAAATTTTGCTGACTATGATTAGGATAATTTGTGTTTTCTTGCTTAGTTGCAGTTATTTGTTATAACCCGTGGTTCAGTGATTTGAATTTGGTTATAGCCTGTGGTCCCATGTAGGGTTGACAGTATCTTTAGAAAATGTTTATTTTTTACAATAGACCAAATTGAAGAAATCAGGATTAAAATAAGAATAGATCTAACAACCACTTTAAAATATTTAGCGTTTTATTATTGTTATCAATATTTTGTTATTAAGAAATGGATTTTCAAATGAACTATACTTCATGCCTAGTATTTTCGCTTTTTTATAATTATACGTGGCAACATGAGGTCTATAAACCTAGCAGTCCCAAGGTGGAAAAAAACTTCGGGAACTAGATAATAATTAGGTGCTTTTTAGGTGTTAATTAGGGCCTCTAATTAAAAATTAGGTGCTCCTCTAGTTTTTGAGAAAATCAAAAAAAACTAAGGGATTGCTAGGTTTATGAAAGCTAGTAGTTCCCTATAGTGAAAAATATTTTTCCAAACTTTTCTTTTGTATCAGAATTAGGTGCTTTTAAGGTGCTCTCCAATAGTCGAAGAAAAAATAGAATTGATTAATTATTAACTGAGTTACAGATTTTTTTTTAATTATTAGGGGACTCCTAACTTTACGTTTACTTGTTGGTGTGTCAGAATGGAAAAAAACTTCGGGATCTATATAATAGTTAGGTGCTTTTTAGGTGCTAATAAGGGCCTCTAATTGAAAATTAGGTGCTCCTTTAGTTATTGAGAAAATCAAGAAAAACTAAGGGACTGCTAGGTTTATAGTTTATGAATGCTAGCAGTCCCCTATAGTGTTTTTTTTTTGTATCAGAATTAGGTGCTATTTAATTACTCCTAAATAGTCGAAGAAAAACTTGAATCAGTTAATTATTAACTGAATTACAGATTTTTTTCATTATTAGGAAATTGTTGGCTTTACTTTTATTTGGTGATGTGTCAGAATAGAAAAAAAAATTCTGGGTCTATATATATAATAATAATAATTAGGTGCTTTTCAGGTGCTAATTAGAGCTACTAATTAAAAATTAGGTGCTCCTTTATTTTTTGAGGTAATCAAAAAAAAAAACAAAGGGACTGCTAGGTTAATGGAAACTAGCACTCCCCTAAAGTAAAAAATATTTTTTCAAATTTTTAGTTTGTATCAGAATTAGGTGCTTTTTAGGTGCTCCTAAATAGTCGAAGAAAAAATTGAAGCGATTGATTATTAACTGAGTTACAGATTTTTTTTCATTATTGGGCGACTGCTGGCTTTACGTTTACTAGTGGTGTGTCAGAATGGAAAAAAACTTCGAAATCTTTATAATAATTAGGTGCTTTCTAGGTGCTTATCAGGGCCTCTAATCAGAAATTAGGTGCTCCTTTAGTTTTTGGGGAAATCAAATCGATGTACACCGACTTTCACCAATTGGGACACCCCCACCCCAAAATGGCGGGAAATTCAGAACGTCAGTTATCAAATTTTCAGATTTTTTATTATTAAATATGATTTTTACTTTGTTTAAGCTCCTGAGACATGTGAAATATTATTTTAAAACATTTAATGGAATACTGCTCCTCTATACGGGGTTTTATTCAAAATGGCGGCCCATTTTTTACATTTTTGTACATAAATCGCCTCTAGGGCCTGTGGTGATATGTCGTTTTATAGCAAAAATTATTCAAGAAATTTTGTGATTTTGGCAGATAAAATGCTGCAGGACTAATGCTGCATTTACATTCACTTCGAAGTCCAATTTGTCTTGAAATTGACACGCTTGTCATATGGCGGTAGCACATATCCATTTATGGTGCATTTACATTCACTTCGAAGTCCAATTTGTCTTGAAATTGACGCGCTTGGCATATGGCGACAGCACAGATCCATTTACATTGAAATAAATTTGAAGTTCACTTCGAAGTGCACTTCAAATTTGGGCGAGCTGCTTGCCAAGGGCAAGCAGAAATTTGTCAAATGTCAAATTTTTAATTAGGCAATCCAAACCACGTGACTTTTTTTGATGGATTGTTGGCACACAAAAGATTTTCTTGGTTTAATTTTGTCCTTGCGTTCGGTATTTTGCTCAAAGTGCAGAGCGTGCTGAGCTGAGCCGTAATCAGGTGACCAGCGAGCGAACAGAGCAGTTGAACGCAGTATCCGAGTGCCCGAAATTATAATAAAACAACGCAAATGAGCTTGCTCCGAATACACTTTTTGAATAAATAAACGGTAAATTCAAGCTCGGAGTCTCGGAGAACTCTGATCAAAATACCCAGAGCACGGCGTGTCATTTTCTATGTTGACTGCGTATTTTGCTGCTTATTGCTTAATTTTGTGAGTTTTGAGACCTAAAAAACCGCACACTCACAATAATTTAGAAATATTTTGAAAGGAAATTTGTAAAAAGCTGGAATTAATTATTTTAAAATTCCCAACGTCAAAGGTAAACACAAGGGACGATGACTGATGACACAAGAAATTTAGGGTTATGGGCACATGTGTGCCAACCAATGAACTATAGCTAAAAACTGGAATGCGCACACATGCCATATCTGCCAAAAAAATGAAGCCATGAAAGACAGATGCCACAAGGGGGAATGTTGTTTTTTTCTGTTGCTCGCTGACATATGACGTTTTCGAAAGTTTTGTCATATTTCCCTTCACAGGTTTCATCAATTGGAATACGTGTTGGAAGCAATTTTCGCCATTTAACATAATGAGTGCGACAAAAACAGGTATCCCCTCCGCAGCAGCCGCACTAGGCTTCAAGTTCGTCCTTATGTGTTAGCATTTCAGTTTTTAGTTATAGTTCATTGGTGCCAACAGTCGGCCATATTTGACACATCGTTGGATTGCCTTAATTCTCATTAAATTCTGACATTTTGACTTTTTTTTGTTCTGCAATGTAAATGATCAAATATCAAACGTCAAATTTAACTTGAAGTTGGAAATAAATGTAAATGCTCCTTTACATTGAAATAAATTTGAAGTTCACTTTGAAGTGCACTTTAAATTTGGGCGAGCTGCTTGCCGAGGGCAAGCCAAAATTTGTAAAATGTCAAATTTTTATAGATTTTCATATATTTCTGACGTTTTGACTTTTTTTCTCAATTTCCAATATCGAATAAAGTGAATTTTGTTCTGCAATGTAAATGATAAAATATCAAACGTTAAATTTAAATTGAAGTTGGAAGTGAATGTAAATGCTTCTTAATACTTGAAAAAAATCATTGTTTTTAACAGAATTTAAATGAGATAATTCAAAATAGCAAGCAGGTGTGCAAGGTAAATGCGCTTTGCGACAGCAACACCCCCTCTACTATCGCACCCTGACTTGCAGCCAAACTTTTGTAAATCCTTGAGGTCACTCCAAATTTCGAGTAATGTGCTCCATTTTGGTTGCCATCTTTCACCCATATACAGGGTGTCCCGGATGAGGATGCACCCTACAAGGATCTCAGTAACCATAAAAGATACAGTGTTGGTTAAATTTGGAAAAAGTTGCGTATTATGTCGGTTTTCCACCAAATCGACAAAACTTAAAATCAGACAAAACTCTAACTTTTCCCAAACATTTTCTAGATTTGCGTGTTTCGCGACATTTGGAGTTTTGTTTTTCGGGTTAATTTCGAGTTTTAAAACAGAAACTCAACAGTCCGTTTGGTGGAAAACCGGCATTACTTAGCTCAGTGGCGTCATGTTTTCCCGAAATTAT